TATGGAAAATGGATGGATGGATCTCATACCTGTTTAATATTGTCGTTTAGACTATCAAACAAAGGTCTTGCAGAAACTGTAAGACATTCTTGAGACACAGCAAGACATCCTGGCAATGCAGTGGAGAATGCTGGCTGCTATGGCTGCTAGGCCAGAAGCAGAGGAGGATATTTTGGAAAAAGGCACTGGTAAGAATGTGAAGGAGCTTCAAACACTTGACATGGAATTAGGACAGAAAGAGAAACGGACCAAGATGGTAATACGACAGAAGCTGTCAATATACATTGTACAATACTCAATATTCATTTACCAGACTTTTTTTTTTTTTACGTCTAAATCATCGTACAGAAAATTAGGCTATGTACTCAACTGATATCAGACATAACTGCTCTTAACCACATACAGTATTGTTCGATTATAACTGAGACCTGTAGTACCAAAATAGGAAATACTTTTTGTTTCTGAATATGAATGAATGAATAAGTTCACTTGATGTATTAGAGAGATTGCTCTTGTGTTGTGTGACGTTAGGGCGACATCACGTGGCTCCAAACTGACTGAACAGCCCGGCTATTCCGCATAGCAACTCCTCAACAGTGCAGGTTTTCCGCCAGAGGGCACCATTTCATTTTTCTTTGTAGAATACCGACTGAAATGTACATCGAAATGTCCACCAGCTGCCACCACTGCCCCAAGTCTCTGTGGCGCAATCTGGTTAGCGCGTTCGGCTGTTAACCGAAAGGTTGGTGGTTCGAGCCCACCCAGGGAAGGGTTCCAGTTTTCTTGTTTTTTAATTTATTACACATCCCAAAACAGTGCGCTTTTGTTACACACTCTCAGGTTTACACTTACACTCATATTATTCCATTTTCTGAGTCCGAATCAGAGAGAAACTGATTCTTTTAACTCGGTTCCAACGTGTTTCGCTTCAGTTTCACACTAAATAACAAAAAAAAACCACTGTGTGAGGGGCGTGTAAAGTTGAAAATATACTATAAATATAATATATAATACAAAACTTTAATCCACTGGTTACAAACTCCATGTAGTGAAAAAAGTACACAAACCTTTAACCGAGTGTGTGTAGAAATCTCAAGCCGGTAATCTTGTATAAGAAGAGGTTATACATCTGGTTATGCATCCCAAAATACCAACGGATCGTGATCTATATACACAATAACCTGCAGACTACTGGACCCAACATACACGTCAAAATGCTGAAGTGCTAACAACAATGCCAAGGGTTCTTTCTCGCCTGTAGAGTAATTTACCTGATGCTTGTTAAACTTCTGGGAGTAGTAACACACAGGGTGGAGCACACCATCACAATCTTCCTGTAATAACACTGCACCAGCCCCGACCGCACTCGCATCAACCTCTTGCTGAAAAGCCTTGGTAAAATCAGGTGCTTGAAGCACGGGTTCACTACTCAGAAGTACCTTAACACTGCTAAAAGCATGATCACACGCAGAAGACTGGTGAAAACGTACGGTAGGACTAAGCAATTTAGTAAGAGGTTCGACAACGGTGGAGAAATTTCTACAAAACCCACGATAATAACCCACCACACCTAAAAATCAGCGCAACTTTGTGGGAACGGGAAAATTTACTATGGCAGTTACC